ACCGATTTCTGGAGGAATTGTCGCCTGGATACTACAGGTGTCTGGTGGTTTTTTGGAGAAATGGATCATTCAGGCAGTGTCGCCCGAGCTGAGTTGGTTGACTCAGGTCTTTAGGGCTCCTTCCAACAATCTCTTGGATGCACTGAATTCCCGGCAAAACCAGCATCAAATGTCATTGTGAAAGCTACTCGTCCCTTCATCAACAGGATTCTACAGAGGAGTTGGTATTTGATGACCGTCAAACAAAAGACCGTCAAACAAGGATTGGCATGGGCCCAGGCTCGGTCTTGGGTCTTGTAATTATCGGATGTCATCGGTAGTCTACAGATATGCAATGTTGAGTGCCCTTGTTGAGTGTAGCGGGTTCTCCATCATGTTCCATTGGTACATCTGGGTCCAGAAAATCCTGCCTCATGTGGGCTATTGCTCTCCCTTTGTACCCTGAGGTGGGAGCTTGTGACCTTCTTGCAAGGGTCACTGCTCCAACCCTTCAGCGCTGGGTGGAAGATTTATTCTTGGATGCTTTTGAGGCGTTCAACTTATATCTTTACAACACAACCACTTGGGCGGCCCAATTACAGACACAAGTCGGCCGCGTGGCTTGTGATTTCGCAGCCGAACTGCATTCAGTGGAGGTCTTCCACTTCTTATTCGGTGAAATGGAATCAAGGTCGATTCGCCTTCCGAAACATCCACAAGATGGCACACAGAAGTCCCATGATAGGGCTTCCCTAGCCCCCTAGCCTACCCCCCTAGGCAGGGAGTCAAGGCGGCTAGGCTTCAGTGCCCAAGATGGAGAACAGTTTGGAGATTCGATCTACGAAATACGCCATCAGATTTCAGGCAGTTCTTCCTGCCTGCTTTCTTCGGACGAGCGGTGACCGTGGTGAGCAACCATGTTACCTTTCTTGGAGCTTGGACGTTGGACCGAAAAGATGACGAATTTGGATCTCGAAGCAGCACTGCGACAGGGTGTTTTTTTGGGAATCATAGGAAAGGTGGTAGTTTTTGGCAGCATGTTCCTGGTATTGGAATGGATTGGGGGGGAACATGAAGCAGGAAATGCTCCAGATTCCACTCACAAGTCTCAGAACGTTCCAGAAGGGTGGGAGTGCCTTACTGGAGAGCCTGTTTGTTTCAATGTGGTGGGACCTGCTGCATCAGCGTCAGTCACTATCAGCGCTTGGAGCCATCGGATTGTTGCAATGGCCAGCATTTTACGCATTTTATCATGTTCGCCAAATATGCCGTTCTGGTGTTCGAGGTGCTCTTAGCTCTCCTGGTCATTGAATTGTTGGCAGAGCAGACCGGGGGAGACTCATGATCTCCGTGTGAGAGACCGACGTGCCGAAGTTCGACCCGGGGCCGTTGAGGTGTTGAGCCAATGTGGAGCTGTTGAGGTGTTGGACGGAGCAAGAAAAGAAAAGAACTGAAACACAAACATGCAACTAGTATCTTCTTGTAGCTTCTTGTTACTACTAGTAAGGCACTTGTTACTAGATGCACTTGTTCCTAGTAGCTTCTTGTTACTACTAGTAGCTTCTTGCAACTAGTAGTGATGGCCTCCAACCTACTTGCGATGGCCTCCACCGAGCATACGTAGCGTCCTTGCTACTTGTAGCTTCTTGTGCAAGGAATGCATGTATGACTCGTGGTTCCAAGCTCGTATCAACATACGGAGAAAGATGTACCACGTTTTCATGGCACAAACTCATAGGACCAGTTCACACGCATGGGTTTGAACACCTTTGCCTTCGCCGCCCACCGTGCCACAACGGCAGGGCTTCCACTGGGATTGGCCCCTCTCTCGCTGTGAGCAGAAGCAACGGCTGCTGCTCACGGAGAATCGTCTCCTCGTCGGGGCGGCCCAGGGCGGGGGGCACGACATGGTGACAACCGACCCAGTCAGTGGAGAACCTACCTTTCCGAGGGGTTGGGGACACTGCCCACTAAATATGAACTGATGTTTCGAAAGGTTAACCTGTCTTTTTTGAAAGGAAACGGCTCGGGAGAGTCCGAGTCCATGGGAGGAAGAAGCCAATACACTGCAGTGTTCCACAGGTTCATGGAATGCATCGTCTTTATTCAGGCCAATACAATCCTACCGGCCAGGGTCCAGTTGTTGATCTTTTGCCCGCAGTCTTGGCTCATAAAAAGAATCACCTCACGCCTTTCACAGGGCCATAGGGGGGTGGTGGCAACGGGGGTTAGCAAAATGCAAAAGATCTTTTGGATTGGGCTGAGCGTTCCTGAGTGCTGGTCAGGGTGCCTTCCATCCAACGTACCTAACATCCCTCAATCATCCTCAGACAAAAACCATCACCTCATCAAAGTTTCCCTGAAAATCTAGGAACCAAATCATTAGTGTTTCGCGCTTCTTCAAGGAAGCGTCTTCGCGTCTTCGCTGCGTCCAGCTACTCCCTCAATCCACCCTGGGCGGGGCCTCGGGCAGAACAGAATCCATCCCTCATGAAAACCGTTCCTGGGACGTTCCTGGGACGTTCCGGAAACAACCTGTCTCGCATTGTTTTGCTCGACATCGCTAGTCTTGGGACGTCTAGGCTCTTGAAGGACAAGAGCGCTTGGAAGAGTTGTTGGAGGACCCAAATAGCCAGAAGTGTGTCCTCTGAACGTGGTCGAGCTTAGCTTGCCGACTGTTTGCAATGAACATGCACAGCTTCGGTGTGTCTCCGCATCGATCTTGATGACAATATGCAGCAACTGGCGTGACGTCACTCTGCTGAATCGGTTACGACTGTACAGTGAATCGTTACGAGAGATGTCTTTAATACAACCGCTTCCTGCAGGAGAATGCCAATGAGAGGGAGGAACTGGCAGCAGTCATGAAGGCGGGTGACCATGTCCGGAAAATGCATGTGCCACTTGCTTTCTTGTTACTACTAGTAAGGCACACTTGTCCTGGGATCCGGGTGAAGCCGTTGTCTTCGGCCGTGCTTCGTCAGGTGCTGAAGGATCAAGTCACCAAAGTGCGAAGCAAAGGCGCGAGAGCTGCGGAGCGCTGCGTCGAGCGCAGCGGTGGAGTCGAGTCGTGCCCTTGGCCAGGCGGAGTGGACAAGGAGAATATCCCCATTGCCGCTGAGATGTTCAGTTCAGAGAGCGAAAGATATGGGGTCAGAGAAACAGAGAGAGTGAGGGCATGACGGAGGAAGCTGGGGAATTATGAATGGCTTTCTTTAAGAGACAGACATGTCACTGAATGTCACACGTCTTTTCACTCCGCTGGGGATCAAATCGATTTCTCCTTTCCCAATAAAAGATAAAAAAGGCGAACACACTTCCTGTTCGCCCGCGTTTCTCGGTTGACGACAAGGCACAGCGAGGAGGTGGCTAAACTGCAACTCAGCTCCAGAGCCTTGGCGCTGTTTCTTCATGCTTTTTTTCAATGTAGCAAGAATACTCCAAGAGCTCCAGAGACACGTAACAAGAATGCTGCCAGTAGCAAGAACGCCACAAGGTTAGGAGGCCATCACTATTAGGTTGGAGGCCATTACTACTAGCATCTAGTAGCTAGAAGCTACGAACGTAACAAGGGCATGACTCCATGAACATCTCACGGAGCGCTTCCGCCTGGTGCGGAGTTCCCCCGTCACCGCCACCGAACGAACGAGGCAACATCCGAACGGTGGAAGAACCATACCCAGACACGACCTGTTTTGGGGGCTGGCGTCCATTTGACCCAACGGGCCCCTCTCTCCAACCCCAAGTGATCGGCAAAGATGGCATTTTCAGACAGGTCGTGTCTGGGATGTGGAAAATGTGGTTGCTTTTGGGCAAAAGAAGAGGGATCCATCTTGCGCGACTTCGATCCAGCTCAGGGTTAAGTGAGGAGATACCGTGTTCAAACGCATTCGCGTGTTCGAACAGTCCCAGCCCAACACGCACACGGCACATTGACAATCATGCCCACTTGAGGATTGCTGAGCTTGAGTGATTTGCCGAGGGCCGCAGACTTGCTGCAAGAGTCATCAATGTCCAGCTGGTCTGACCACGTTCGGTCCAAACATGTTTTGACCGTTTTGACCGACCAAACTGTGTCCTCACCGTCAGACTGACTTGAGGGACTTGAGTGAGGGCCACGGACCAAATATGAGTCGTGTTTACCCTGTAGCCAGCAAGGTCTACCAGTCTGGTGTCAAGTGTGGCGGTTGCATTCAAATCATTAGGCCGCATCACACCCAGAACGATTGTGGCACCACAAAAGCTCCTGGTTAAAACAGATGGAAGAGCTTCTGCACTGTCTTGGGGAACCGAAACACTACAAATCACCAGAGCGCTTTTTGATGTTTTTTTTCCATTTCAGTTGAGGTAGGATTTCTTGCAACAGTGACTCTCCCTTGAAAAAATCCTAGTTCGGGGGGTCATTGAGGTTTTTGAGGCGAACCATCTCGTGACGATCGAAAAGAGATCGAGGTTCTGAGGTTCCCCCTGTTTTTTTTTAGAATGTACTCCCAGGGAGTCAAAGACTATATAAAGAATTGTCTTTAGGTGGCACGAAAAGGGCCTTCCTTTACTTCAGATCACAAAAATACTCTTTGGACTTCCAGGGTACTGGAACCCTTTACCATTGATTTGATGACTATACTGACTTCCATTCCCTGACCGAGGTCCGATCCGTTTTTTGGTTTGGACCGATCTGTTGGAGCAGACTGTGAATTCGGAGCTGACTCCCCAGAGTTGCGCGACGAGAACCACGGTGTTCTCCGCGCGCGATGTGCAGGTGGTTTTTTGGCGAGGAGAACCTCAGAGAGACTCCCGTAATTCGAACGCACGGAGATGAACGCATCCAACATTTGGCTGATGTGGATAATGAACGAAGATCAAAGAAGCGTGTCTTGGATTGCTTGGAAGAACATGAGCAAGAAAGGCTTTGTGTTATCTTCAGGCTTTTAATCTCGTTTCCAAAGATCGAAATAGATCGAAAAAGACTCCACCGCCATCGATTTCGTGTCGTCAAACTCTCAGCTTTGCTTCTTGGGGAGGCAGGGCGTCGGACTGGCAAGGCCTGGGACGACGGTGTGGGACGGGTCCAGTGGCAATCGAAGGCCGAACAGTCAAAGCCATCGAATTGCGGGTCAAGTGAATATATACCTGGATGTGTTTGTCTTTTCTGTTGGTTGAAGTTGTATGCGTGTTCCGTTCGTTTCAGGATGTGAAAGAGCTTGGCTTCAACAGCCAACTCTGTTCACCTCAGATGATGGCAGCTTACGTTGAGATACGAGCTACCAGTGTTGTACTTTATGGCTTAGAGCTGGCCACTCTTCCAGGTGACGCACATTGGTACTACCACAACCATTGGTAACGTCTCGGTCTTTTCTCCTTCCGTGCCAGCCTCAAATAACAGAATGACATGGAATGACACAAAAATACAGAGATTGTGCAATTGGTGGAGTTCTTTGTGTTTGCGAACTTGTTTGCTCAGGCTGAGGTGAGTTTGGAGCTGAGTCAAGGAACAGCGTCAAAGGCTTCGTTTTGGCGTTCACATCTGCGTTTAAGGCGGCACATTGAGCAACTCGCCCCTTCCGGCACCAGCATTTTCTCAGGCTGGACTTCTTCAGGGATGTTTTGGCATCATGCTTTTGGGCATTGCTACTAGTAACACGGGCACTACTACTACTACTACTACTACTACTACTACTACTACTACTACTACTACTACTACTACTACTA